TAAATCAATTCATAAAAGACTTCTAATTTTAAAAAATTAATGTATTTTTATCCAAGTTTTTAAACTACTTGTTCCAAATTTTAGTAAAAAATAAATATTAAGATACTAGAAAGATGCAATAACATATTTTACATATATAGAAAATTTTCTCTTCTATTTTCACTTTTATTTATACTTTTATTTATTTATATATTGCTCTCGCCATTCGTAATGGCTAGTGCATTCTCAGCATAATTCGATAGGCGAAAATAGGTGGTCGCCAACGATAGTAGACAATCGGTCGGCTTGAACGATTGAATGGAAATGAAAGTCGTTCAGAAATAAGTAGCGGGTGTGACAATGACCGAGGTACGATCACCTCGGCGACGAATGATGATGCTAATGACGATGTTCGATTTGCGGTGAAGACGAAGGACAGCCAGGGAGGATTCAGTTGGCACGAGGGTTTCCTTTGGAATCGGTGATCGAGCGAACACGGGGAGCTTGTAATGAAAGGCAGGATGCGCTCGGGACCGGACGTGATGTTCTTCGCATACAGAAACAGTTCCAGAAACGAAGGAAACACCGTCGTTGGACTATGATGATTGGTACCCCTCCATCAAGATAATCGTGTCCTAAGTATGGTATGGCAAAAAGACGTCACCGGATAGGTTTTCATGTCTTGTCAACAGTTTGTACATTTATTTATGACGCGCCACTAATTTTGTCCTCATCAAGCCGGAAATTATTATTGTTCTTTTTCAGAATTTTTCTCTTATGTTTACTATTAATCCGGATGCATTGTTAGTCGATCCGTTGAAATGCACTCATATGGAAAATTTAGTGTGAAAGAATTTTTTGGAAATTTATTTTAGGTAATTTTGTAAAATGAGCAAAAGTTTCTCCTATTTCGAAATAATCGAATAACGTTAATTTCAAACAATATGATAAAAAATGATAAAATAAAGAATCCATAGAAAAAGTAGCAAATTGAAAATTGAAATGCAAAGATTTTTTGCGGAGAAAAGCGATTCAGTAAAATGAAACGATCAATACTTATCAATGAGACTTTCAATTGCAACCTATACAGGTAAATGCAGAATGGAGTAAACGTCAGGAGTTCATAGACCCAGTCTGGCCTATTATTTAAGTTTGTGCATTTGCATACATTTGCATACGTATATCAGTTAACAATGAAATATACATTTTATATTAAATTTTATTGTAATTTTTTATCTCTTTTTATTTACTTCATCAAGAATATTTTAAAATGACAAAACTATAATTTTTAAAATAATATATACATATATCTTCTTCCTATATATTAATAATACTATTTTATTACTACAAAATCTTAAATCAATTCTCCTTTGTTTTTTTTTTTT